TTTTGTCATAAGATCACATTCCTAATTGTTTCTCATAGGGTTTTCCACAGGAACCCAAAGAGCACTCTAAATCATATCAAAACTTATCTATTTTTGAAATTAAACATAGAATCATACTCAACATTCAACAAGGAACACAACAGAAATAACAGTCATCCAAACAAAAAACTTTCATATTTAGCCTGTTCCTAGATGCATGCATCAAGCAAGGGATTGGGGGTCCACCCTGCTACCCAAAAATTATTCCCACACCCCCAAGTGAGGTTTCTCACTCCCCCTTACCTTGATGAGCAGAAGAAGAGGCACAAGAAGAATCATGTTCTTCTTCTCCAAGTTCTCTTTATTCTTCAGAAAAGAACCCGAGGAGGACGAATCCCTCAAACACTAAGGCAAAGCAAATAGAGCTTTCTCAAAAGGTGATTTCAACAAGAGAAAAGCATTGCTTGTTAAGAAGCTGCTAGAATGAAAACCTGCAAAGGGCGTTCTAGGCAAAAAGAAAAAAGAGCAATATTTGTTCGAGCTGAAAATCAAGAGACAACTTAAATGTTCCTCTTGAGAAGCAAGACTCCATGGAAAGCTCTATTATCGCTTCTACCCATTCCTACTTCTTAGGAAAGATTATAGGTTGACAACACCTTCATGAGAGAAGAAGCCAAAGGACCTCCCTCTACACGAGATCTTCTAAAGTGCTACATCCAAGCAAGTGTAGGACTAGCCCTATAGTCAGACAACCTAAGCCTCTCTAAGGGGAAACCTCTATCTACTTCTCTATGTATTATAATAATAATAATAATAATACTATTTAATAATTTACCAAAATGTCCTTCCTTCCCTTCTCATAAAATAATTAATACAATATAATTAAAATACACCTCTTCCCTTTAATCAAATAACATAAGCATATTTATTAATAAAATATATTTCATAAAATACATCCTGCATTACTAATTAAAATAATAATTACAAATCATGTCTTATAAATAAAATAGAGCTCATATAATTAATTAAATAATATTAAAAATTCCAAAATAAATACATTAAAAACAATCAAAATACACTTTCTCTTTTAATTAAAAATAACGTGTTTATCCTTTGATAAAATACATTTTATAAAAACCTGTCTCATATCAAATAATCAAATATTAATTAAAAATCATGCTTTATATTAAAATATAACTCACATAAAATAGATAAATAATATAAGATATACTTCCCCCTTTTTGTAAAAATAAGATATGTTTTATATAAAAAAAAAAAATAAAGCTCATATCAAATAGCTAAATAATATTAAAAATCCTTCTAATAAACATATTAAAAAATTAAAATAAAAAAAAATGATTTCCTCATTTTGGATGTGCTTGTTCATCATCACCTTAAACCACTACCCTACCTCGGTAAGCCATTCTTCTAAAAACCATTTTTGAAAAAATCTTTTCTAACAAAACTTCTGCAAAAATATATGTATATATCCCCTTTCTCTCTTTCCTCTTGACCTATATGGCATTAAGATAAATTTGAGAGATACACGGAATATGCATAGTGAACACTCACAGGTAAAAGTTGGAGGTGTCCTAGAACAAAGTCTAGGTACACCTGATCTAAGGGCTAACATATCACATCCAATACAAACGAGAGGACTGAACTACTCAAACCTCAGGTTCAAGAAGCAACACTGAATTCGACAGGGATAAAGGCTAACAATCCATGCCATTGATCAATGCGAATAGATTAATTTCTTGAAAGTAAAAATAAATTTGCATTTTAAGCATTAGCATAGAAGCATCATTGCATAACATGCATATGGCACAAGTGTGCACAAAAGGGTATAAGTTCACTTAAAAAAAATGAAAAAAATCCAATCCATTCCTACTTTGCATTCTCTTTTGCATTCTTGCATTCTTTGTGTTTGTCTATCCATCACTTGTTGGAGGAACCAAGAGGCCGAAGCACTCATAAAAAAAAATCAATAGCTAGATAGTGCCTTAAGAGCCAAGATCATGTCAAAGAACCTAGCCCCAACAAGGGCATTCCATACAAGTGGTTTCATATAGCCACCAAGAAAAGAAAGACACATTAACAGCAAGACGGGATAGAACTAGAAGAGGAAGAATAATCAAGCTTATAAGCATGAAGAGGACATCACGCCTTACTTCTTCACAAAATGAAGGGTAATCCAAGAGAATGCCAAGACCAGGAATGATTTCCTCACCAAAGCCAGGAGTGGCTTCCAAAATAATACTCATCAATAAAGAGACAAGGAATAACATCATGGGAATAGATCCCTCCACCAATGATGAAAATAAAGAGCAAAAACAACAACATGAGAAAAAGGAGAGCTTCATAAATGTTGAAAAAGTCGAAGCATTTATAAAAATAACAAAAAAAGGCAAGCTTCAAATATGAAAAAGCTGAAGCTAAACAAAACATGAAATTCAGGAAAAAAATTACCACAAGCAGACACATAGAGAGGCATCACAATACTCATTGTGGCAGGGGGCAGCATCGGAATCCCTGCCAACCATCCACTTCTCTGCCCACCAACACAGGGGCACATCAAATATCTCTTGCCCATCCACCTAGGGGCAGTCTTTCATCCCACAACACCAATGAGAAGACATCAAGTACAAGATCAGAAAGGGTTGCTAGATCCCCAAAACTAGTACAAGATCGGAAAGGGTTGCTAGATCCCCAAAACCGGAAAGGGTTGCTAGATCCCCAAAACTAGTACAAGATCGATAAGGGTTGCTAGATCCCAAAAACTAGTACAAGATCGGTAAGGGTTACTAGATCCTCAAAACTAGTACAAGATCGGTAAGGGTTGCTAGATTCCCAAAACTAGTACAAGGTCGGTAAGGGTTGCTAGATCCCCCAAAACTAGTACAAGGTCGATAAAGGTTGCTAGAGCACAAAACTAGCATTGGGTCGGCTGAAGCCCTAAATATCAGTCCAACCTGGAGAGGCTGAGCTCAGAATATACTCCCTCTCCAACAACCTACAAATAAAGGAACACACTACATGAAGCAAGCAAAATCAGTAGGATGCATTGACATCAAAGCTAGAAGCCTAAATGGTACAAGTTTACCATCCTTATCACCCGACGGAGCATACAAACCAACACTCAGTTGCTCTTAGGGACAAGGATACAGGTAAACACCATCTACTATAAAGAATTAGTGTGGGGACATCTACACCGTTGAAGCGAAAGGGAAGATTCGGACGCAGCTGTTGAGATTCATGGAGTAGTGGATCAACTCAAACTTGGAGAATGAAGGTTTTGATGATAACAAAGTATGGATTCTAAGAATCAAAGCTGACCAAGGATACATCAACAAGTCAAAAACAAAGTCAAGAAGAAAATATGGCTATTATGTTGTGTAATAGGAGTAACTCATAAGTTGTATTGTTTTGTTGAGCTTATTTTGTATGTGTGTGCTTTGTGCATGGATTAATCTTTATCTAATCTGACTAAGAGTGGGTATGATGATGAGTTAGAATCTTGAAAAGTTATTTTGAGATATAAAATAGAGTTTTTGAAAACTGACTCAAAATAATCGATTATCATTAAATATAATCGATAATTTCAGCAACAGGTAAAAAGGATGCCTTGCTGTAATAATCGATTATTTGTGAAATAATCGATTATCCCAGGAATCACTCTTTGGAATAATCGATTATCCTGCAAAATAATCGATTAATTTGTTCTTGGTTGATTTCCATAAATCATGAAGAACAAAATAATCGATTATCCTTTAAAATAATCGATTATCTGGTTCTGAAAATGTTATAAATAGTTTTCACATTTTGAAAATTCAGAACAAGATAGAACAAAGAATCAAAAAGAGAAAAACGTTATTGTGAAGTCTTTGTGACCTTCTTGGAGTGTTTTCTTTGTGAAACCAAGAAGTAAAACATTTTCGAAATGCTTTGAGAAAAGATCATCATCATCACATTCTTGAAAGAGAAAGATTAAGATTTGCTTCTGAGTTCACTATCTGATTTGTTCAATTTCCAGGTGAATTCGTTCCTTTAATTCTTTGTGAATAATTGTAAATCTTGAGTAGGTGTCTCAAGTGGTAAGGAATTCTTGTAGTGGGTTTCTACAAGAGGTGCTTGGGGTCAAGAAAGTGATTATCTTGAATGTAAGAGTGTATGCATGTGTGGTATGCTTGTAAAACTTCTTCATTAAGATAGTGGAACAAATCTTGATCAGGTTATGATTGAGGACTAGATGTAGGTCACATGTGGAGTGACTGAACCAGGATAAAAGACTTGTGCAATCTTCTCTTACCCTTATCTTTTACTTTGAGTAATATCTTGATTGTGTGTTAAAGAGATTATTCTTGATTAACATGTTTGTATGCACAACATTGTTTTAAACTAAATCAAAGCGTTGCATATTGATTGCTTTTAACTTTGAAGTTTATTAAAGAATAATCAAGAAAGCATATAGGACTCATTTTTTATTAACAAGTCTTTAAGGAACTTTTTTGAAAATTCATATTAGAAAAGTTTGAATTGAAATAAAGATCCTAAGAACTCTGAAAATTTTTAAAGTGTCATAGAATCCAATTCAACCCTCCTCTTGGATTGAGCCATTCTTTTCCAACAGTAGCAACAAAAGAAGCAACATGAAGCATTCACATGGATCTTGAAGCCTACACTACTACAAGATGCATATTCTACATCGGTTCTCTAAAGTCATCTACATCGGTTCTAAAAACGATGTAGAATAGAAAGACGTAGAATAGAAAGACGTAGAAAATGTATACATTTTTACATCAGTTCTGAAAAATCGATGTAGATTTAAGCATAAATCTACATCGGTTCTCTGGACAACCAATGTAGATTTAAGAATAAATCTACATCGATTCTCTGGAGAACCGATGTTTTCTTGAGAACCGATGTAGATTGCATTTTTATATAAAAAAAATCATGCTTATTTTTATATTTCAATATTTTTTCTTTCCACCAATACTTCCTCAATCAATTTACAACAATATCTCCTTGGACAATCTTAATAAAATAAAACTTTTTGGCCCCAAAGTACACAAATCCAAATAAGCACCAAGTCTTCAAGACATAACTAGTACTTGCAATAAGAAAGGAAAATAGGAATCAAGGAAAACAAAAATGAAGAATCACATCAGCAATGAAATATCACTTATCATCTAGAGGGAAACCAAACCTACAAGAGAGGCATTAGCATAAAAGATGTTGCAAATAAAGATTTCCAATGTAATATGGGTGATTAATGCTTTTTCTGAAAATAATCCCTTAAATGCTGTACTTTGGTTAATTAGCATACATGCAACATGACTCATTCAAATTTGTGCTCATTGGATAACTTAGGATTAACTCATTACATATGCACATATGCTAAAATATGAACAACTTTTCATATTTCCAGTTTGAATTATTAGTTAATATGTTCATGTATAACACCAGAAAAGAGATAAAATTAGCATGCCACGCAAGTACAAAAAGAAGTAAATATTTTCATCTGATGTAAAATTTTAGATCCCAGCTTGCATCAATACCATGGTCATTAAAATTGTAATTAAGATTTCTACGACAATCAATACATTTTGGTTTCACTATGCAAAGCAATAAACCAAGAGCTATCATTAATTAATAAAATAAATATTTAAATATAACCAAAGGGAAAATTATCAAATTAAGAGAACATACTGAGCATGGGATGATAAAGGAAGTGTTGTATATCCAATAACCACCTGTCAAAAATTAAAAAGCATAATCAATTCAAAACAATCCATATGTACAGACACAAGCAATAAAGGCAGGAATGAAAAAATAATGAATTCAGTGGAACACATAAATGAACTTACTGGCTTAGGAGCTTCCAATTTTGTTTGCAGATCAACATGAAATAAAGTAAATAGAAGGTGGTGATTTGGCATCCATGTAGCAGGAAGGGAAAGTTTAATTTCATCGTGGTAGCAAGCAACCCTAGCCCCAGCAGCAACTTGGGTGTGACCCCACTTCTGAAATGATGCATCTAGACTTGGATCTCTAGGATATATTGCCTACGCAAATTGAGTCACCCAAGACAAATAAGAAGGAAGTATAGCTTGGGCCATGACTTTCCTTAAGAACACAAAATAAAGGTCATTACCTCTAATGGCTGCCTACGAATATCACCATCATCCTCCCTGAGTTCAACCCGTATAAACAAATTCCTTTTCCTACGGATCCTTGAAACTTACGCCACGCTCTACGCGCCAATCATCAGTGTCAGGTTTTCCAGGCATTTTAGCAACACTTTTTCCTGGAACAACGCAAAGATACAACAAAATTCAAAATCACAAATTCACAAGAGCATGATCAAATTCCAAAATTTATTTGAAACAAAAAAGAAACGATACTCAGGATCAAATGAATCTCAATCTGTTAACTCCATTACAAAGCTGGAAAAGGGTAATGAAGTTCAGACTAAATTACATGCAATAAAAATGAGTCTATAAGTAAAATGAAACGAATTTAAACACTTACCCTCCACTCAAATCCCAAAAAGACTTGAGAAAAGTCAAAATTGTTTTTCTCAAGTATTCTTCCCAATGAAACACACATGCTGAAAAGAAAATTCTCATTTCTCACAAACAATAACCTTAAAGGAAGACGAAGACAAACAAACAAACATAGAAACACACTTTAAAAAGTTAAAGTCAAATTTGAATAGAAACTAGAGATGCTGTGGTGTGAGAAAATAAAGCCATGAACTTCAGAAGAACTTACTAAGTAAAACTTTGGTTTTCAAAATCAGAATTGCATTGAGATGAGACTCATTCTCTCTCTCTTTGTATAAGCCTGCAACCTCAAGAGAGACAATGAGGCTTGATGTAGTGATGAGAATGAGAATTAACTTTTACGAATACAGCTTTAGTCTTAGTTTTTGTTCATGCAAGTAGGCACGGTCAAAATGACAAAATCTGAGCCCATAAATTGAGACCACGACATTGCAACCCCAACCTAGAAACTTACCCCTATACCATCCATATAGCTCTCGAGGAGCCGATTCAATAAACCAAGGACTCATTTAATAATCCCAGCCCAACCCCTTGACAATACTCATTTCTTCCCACAACCGTAGATTCCCACATACAAGTCACACCAAAGTCACAAAATACAAAAAATTAAAATTAAAAATTAAAATAAAATAAAGAGGGTTAGGGTTTTACCCTAACAATCAGAAGCTTCTCCTCTTCAAAAATGGGGGACGCCAAGAGACCTTCACCAGTCCCCATCTCCACCTTGGACAAAGCCCAACGCTCCGACCCCAGCCCCCTCATCATCGCGGCCCCAGCGACGTCGCCAAGGACGCCCTCATCGCCTGCCTCCGCGAGTCCCGCTGCGGCCTACACTTCATCGTCACCGCCACAACGCGTCCCCGCCGCCCCTCCGAGCTCCACGGCCGCGACTACATCTTCGTCTTCAAGGACGACTTCCTCGCCATGGTCCACTGCGACGAGCTCCTCGAGTACGCGCTCGTCTACGGTGACTATAAGGGCATCCCCAAGCTGCAGATTCGCAAGGCGCTCGCCAAGGGCTACGACGCCGTGCTCCGGGTCGACATCCAGGGCGCCGCCACTCTCAGCAAGGCCCTCAGCAAGTCTGTCGTGTTTGTCTTTGTGGCTGTCGAGAGCGAGATGGCCTTGGTGGAGAGGAGAGATCCTGGAGGGAGGAGCTTGACGTTGTGAGAATGGTGGAGGCTGGGTGTTGGGAAGAAGCATATGGCTTCGAGGCACTTGACATTGCAACGTACACTGTACGTGTTAAACCCTAGCTTCTATACTACATAGGTTATTTTGAAAACCGATGTAGATCTACTTGTAAATATTTACAAAATTGCCACCGCGCATTTAAATCTACATTGGTCCAATTAAAAATGATGTAAAATGCTTAATAATTACATTAGTTTTGTACATAACCGATGTAAATTTTCTTTACATTCAACTCATATTTACGAATATGCCACCACATCCAATTTTTACGTCGGTTCTACCTAAACCGATGTAAAATTGACGATGTTTAACAGCAACTTTCTAGTAGTGCTAGATGTTTCGATTTACCATCCTTGACACCCGACAGAGCATACAATCCAACACTCAGTTGCTCCAAGGGGCAAGGATATAGGGAACACCGTCTACCCGAAGGAAACAACGTGAAGGTATCTATTATCGAAACAAGAGTGGAGATTCAAATTTTCACCTCACTATCACAAGAGAAACAATGAAGCTTCTACTCGAAGACTGAAGATCAGGTGTACAATTTGTCAACCTTGTTACCCAATAGAGTAAGCAACGAACACTCAACTTCTCTAAAGGGTGAGGATACGAGCAAATAGACCTATCCAAGAGAAACAACCAAAAGCGCCAGCACCAAAGAGACGAAGAGAAGACCCGGATGAAATATCTACGTCTTTACTTGCCTTTGGAAAAGAAACACATAGCTATTCCAAAGGACAAGTAAAGAGGGGCAACTATAGACACTCAATTTTGTCTGGATGAACAAAAGTAATAAAATGGACGTTTATCATCAAAGAAATGGAGGTTCCAAGCATGGCAATAATAGGACATGACATCAGAAGGCCTAAAAGCCCAAACAAGCTGGTTTTAGTAGCCAGGAACGGGCTGTTGCAAAATTGGAACGAGCCGTTCCAATTTCCTAAAAGGTCCTGAAACCCTAGTTTGGAACGGGTCGTTCCTAAACTGGAACGGGCCATTCCAAGTTATTAAAAAGGCCTAAAAACCCTTGTTTGGAACAGTCGTTCCAGCCTAGCCAATTATGTGCTAATCTCATCTCTGGAACGGGTCGTTCTAGTTTCAGAACGGTCAGATCTAGAATGGGCCGTTCCGATTTTGGAACGGGCCGTTCTAGAAACTTTTTGATGTCTATAAATAGACAGCTTAGGCACAGTTCTCCAGGCCACAAAATTTCGTCCAAGACTCCTTAGAGATCGAAATTTCTCTTTCTCTCCCTCCTATTGTATTTCTTGAGATTTGTGAGGTATTTGTGTAGTGTGAAAGGTTGATGCAAAGCACCTAAAATCTCCATAGTTGAAGATCTAACAAAGCTTGTTACGAGGTATTACTCATCAATCTCTTGTTCCATCTTTCTCTTCTTTTCTTTCAAATATTGTTATAATAAACGCAATCATTTAGACATCTTAGGGTTCATAATGTAATTTAAATTTCAAGTAAATAATCATTAATAAAGGGGATTAAATATTGGTTAAAGAATTTAAAGATTTGTGAGATATGAAATTTCAATTGTTGTACAAATCCTGATCATTATTCTTGTAATTGAAATTGATTAAGAAGAAGGTAATATAAAATCAACCTTGCACACAAGTGATTGATTCGCTGCATTAACTTTGATATTTTGTTATATTGGTAATAAACCTTGTAATCTACTGTTCTTTGTTAATACAAATTGAGTAAAGGTTGAATTTTAGATAT